GACTGTGCCAAGGTATTAAAGCCACTCCGTCCCTCCCGCCAAAAAATAACCAAACACCCACACCTCAAAATAGCTCTTACAAGGTTTCTGACTACAAGTTCTAGAAGCATTACAACATTCATAAATCAGAAAAACACCTCAGACCATTAAGTTTTAAGAGATAATTAAAGAACCAAATTCAAAAGAGTACTAACAATAACCAGCACACAAACAATATTCCATGCTCTTGTGGCACGCTGCTTTGCCAATTTTAACATTAATACACCAAGTTTAAAAACTAGTCTGAGACTTTCTGGGCAAACACCTTCTGTAAGTCCTTTATCCCAAAATGTGCATTAAGAAGCACATTTTTAATGAATTAATGGCAAGATCTGATACAAGTGAAAAAACCGACATGCTAATATGGCCAGTGCCCCTCCATCAAATCTGACAAGTCAGCAAAACCCTAGCTAAGCACAGGCTACATTTACATAATCACAAACAATAAGGTCATGTACAAAAGTAACTAGATAACTTTCCAGGGAGAACTCATTTACAACACCAGAACACGGTTCTTCAGCTCTGCTTCACACAGACATTTTGCTTAACACAACCAGACTGACGCAAAAACTGCACTCTCGGGCACTAAGCTCCCCAAGTTCACGTGCACTTTTCACAGTGAGAAAACTAAACAGAGAGAGCAACATTCACCAAAAATTTATCCTCATATTGCCTACTTGGATGTTTTTACACTAGCTTTGTAGACAGAAAGAGGCAGCCTATTTGATACAAAATTAGATTTATCTCCAACAGCCAGATGCATGGTTAAATTTACATTTAAAGGTAGACAGGCTTTTAAGTCACCTTCAACACAGTTTTGAAGGAAAGACGTAAGTTTTTCAGGGATAGATTACCGAGGAAAAATTAATTCTTGATAAGGTCCTCTTCAATCTCTTTTTGAAAACAGTTCAGACCACAGGTCTCATCTGTGTACATTCCGATCAGGTGCAAGAGTGTGCACTTACAGGTTCAAGAAAACAAAATGTAAATTTACAAATTAGACTCCTCAGATGCCACTTAATAGTTCAGGCACACTTATTCATAGTCTGATGAAAGAATACAACTGAAGTACCTCATTAACTTCAATCTGTCAACATGCTACTGAGGAGTTTGAAATGTCCAATTCAGTTTTTAAAAACAGTGCAAGAAAACAGGTACAGCTCTCTTCACTGTCCACAAAGGGGAGCATTAAAATATATAAGTTGTCAGAAAAAAAACAATCCAGGTTAACATCATAAAAGTTAGTGTCTCAAAAGCTTAAGCAAAAAAAAAAAAAAAAAATCAAAAAAAAAAATCAGGTCACATTTGATGGTGCAAACAATTACAGGAAATACAGCCTATTCCACATTCAGGAAAAGCCCTCTCTTCCCACAGGTTTGCACCAGTCTGATAAAAACAATTCAGCTTCCTAGTTATTATGATGTGCTCTTTAAACATCCTTGTTAATCCACAGAAGACTTATTTACACATAACAAGTTAAAAGCACACATATGGAAAAATAACTGTAACCTAAACAGAACTGTAACTTCCACATTTTATGAGAGTAGTTCTTAAAAAAAAAAGGTTTCCTCAATACACTTCTTACATTTAAGCTAATCTTCAAAAACAAAATGCTGCAAGACAGAGATAATCTATAAAATTAAGCACTAAAAATTTCTGAGATCAAAAAGTAGGATAGAGTTCAGAAAGGAAAACATGCTTTGGATAATACACACAGCATAGAAATGGACCCCAAAAAAAGCAGATGTACATTCTGTAACTGAAACAGATTAGACGTACTGCTCACCTAAACCCACAGGTCTCTCTCTATATCTTGCTGCCTACACCTACAAGAAGTAACCACAGCAGAAGCCTATTTGAGTTCTGTTTTTCAATACTGGCATGTAACAATAAATAAGTAATAATAAAAAAACTACCCTAGCATTCCAGTAGGGAAGGCAATCCCACCTTTTATTTGTTTGAATTCTTAGGGTTGTGACTTTATTTCTTCATTTTGATCAGCACACAAAATAAAAGACAATGGCTGATCATAATATTATTCTTCTCAAGCATAAACAAAACCTTCAGGAAAATGGTTGTATTATAACTAAAAGAAAACCAAAAATAAACACCTACCTAAACACACAACAACAAACTAGAGGAAGCAAATCAAATGACAGGGTGGAGGGGGCAAAGAGGGAATGTGAACCCTGTAGCTTTATTTTTAGATTATATATACCTATATATACACGCACTTGCCCCAAATACTTGGTATTCTCAAGGGTGCCAGGAAACAACTGACAAAACCTTGAAATAATACACTTTTCAGTGAGCACATTAAATCCTGCAGACTTTTCCAGCAAACCTGTAGTTCACTATTACTGAACCCTTCTGCTGGAGGATGTCAGTGGAGCATACAGTTCAAGATATTTAACACAGCCCCCACTAGTAACCAGGAGAGGTGTTTTACAGGGAAACACTTGTTCCAACTCCTCAACTGTTCACTGCTACTGCCTATTCCACCGATGTAATACCGCCTGTAAGCACACAATACGTGGAGGTCCATGCAAACACAGATACCTGCACAAATCCACCAGTATTTTGTCATTCTCTGGCGTCTTCTACCAGACTTGATCATTTAACTGCCCGAGTCAATAGTGGTGCTCGCGGACTCACGCCTCAGAAAAAAAAATAACTGGCGCCCCTTAGTGTTCAAATTCTGAAGTCTTGAAGCAATTCACTAGATTTGCATGAAACTTTTTTTTCAACATTCCAAAAAGTTTTCTGCCTCCACAATACTTCCACCCATTTGCCAACGTAAACAGGAAAAGCAGAAAAGCTTAAAGGGATAGCAGGCTTCTTCCAGAGACCATTTAGGAACACCGATTATATTTTATTTGCTTTTCTCTTGAAGAAGAGAGTGAAGAATAGTTCCAACACAGTCCTTAAACTTTTGTCAGCAAGTCACGAGAGCCCTCGTTTTGGAACTCCAATACTTTGCAAACAGACTGCCAGAGTTTGCAGTATTTCAAAATATATGACAAGACACAAGTATTTTGGGAATTCCTTTTTCAGTGTCCTTTTTGCGTCGGGAAATGTTTTTCTTCCTTTTGTCCTCTGAAAATAAAAAAACAGCTTCAGGCCTCCTCTGGCCAACTACATAAACTCGAAGAGATTCAAGAATTTAAAAATCCGTTATCAAACCTCTGGAAGGCTCATTTGTGCTATAAAGGAGTCTTCTCGATCAAGTTTCTTCTTGATGTTTATTGTAAATCTAACTATTCCGAAGAGGCTGCTCACTGTGGTGACCAAGAACGTAAGTTCTAAAATAGTTTTGCTCTTCACGTCCACATTTGCTCCAATATAAATTCAAACTCCTCCAAGTATCTTGCAAATAAAAATAGACTCCCATTATAATGCTTCCCACAATCCGTATTCTTCACCATTTGTTTGGGTTTCTTTAAATTCCTCTATCACTTATTTCAGAAGGTAGCATTTTCTCGACATGCTATTTTTGTGTCGTACTACAGTCGCTATCTCAATTTTACAGTCTTGGCAGAGGGTGGGGAGCTGTTCTACCAAATATAACCAGTTCTTTCATCTTCCGAGGTCAACAACTTCCCAAACTTCTTTTAGCAAAGAGGAATACATCCGCAAACAAGAACCCTAACTCAAAATCCCGAAAATCAGTACTTCATACTAAGAAACCCAACAAGTTGAAACTGTATAAGTTATTTATGGTCATATCGTATTCTACAAAGCTATCAAATACGATTAAACAAACAGGTCTAAGTCTCCAGAAAGCCTAGGTTTGAAGACATAGAAAAAAAATGCCTTCGACAAGAAAAACAAACCTGTGAACCCGAGTACAAGGCGAATTTCACATACTAAGAACAAGCGTTTCACCTAATTTTTGATACACAGTGGGGTCTGTTACTGTAGTGGGAAAAAGTATGGGACACAGGAAGTTCCCAGCTCGTACTTTCCTTGTTAATTTCTAAACCGTGATTGTTTATTTGTGAAATCTTAACCCTAAACAAAGTTATTAGGGAAAAATTTGGGGGCATAGGGGGGGCCTCGCCCCGTGCCAGGAGAGGGTGCGAGGCTGGGGTGGACGTTTGGCAGGAGCAGACCAGGCAATTTCGTAATCCTTTTTGTTTCTCCCCCTTCACTAAAGTTACACGTAGGAGTCTTTCAAGTTCAGTTTCTTTAAAAGGTAAGGATAGCTGAAACAAGAATTTGCTCGCTTCCCTTGCGATATAGGAAAATCATAATTAGTTTGCGGCCAGTTCGGGGTGGGGTAGATCTGGAAAAGAAGAAAGAGCTCAGCCCCCCTCCGCCTTAGTCATTCAAGTCCAAGCAGCTTCCAGAACAGCCAAATCTCGAAACCAAACACCCCCCGCCCCCCCGGCGGGGGCCCTGGGGCCGGGCGGCGGAGCGCTCCGAGGGCGCCGGCAGGACCCCAGCGTCCCCCGCCGCCGCGGGAGGGAGGGATGGAGGGAGGGGAGCGCCAGCCGCCAGCCAGCCTTTCCCCTCCTCCCTGCCTTCCCCCAGAGCGCATTCCTGAGCTCCTCTCCTCGCTCCCTCCCCTCCGTGCTGTAGTTACCCTTCCCCCGGTTTAAGGAGATAGTGCGGAAAAGGGTAAAAAGAAAAAAAAAGGAAAAATAAGAGGGAAAACCCACCGGGGGGATCGGGGACCCGCGTGGCCGGGGCTGCCTCTCCCCTCCCACTCGCTCCCCGAGTCCCCCGGCACCGCGCGGCGGCGGCGGCCAGGGCGGGGAGAGCCCGCACTTCCCCTTTGTTTTCGGCTCCCCAGCCGGGGCCGGGAGCGTGCGGGGAGCAGCGGGGAGAGCGGAACAGGCCCCGGGCCGCCCCCGCCGCCCGGCCGGGCCGGGGCGGGGGACCGAGCGGGATCCCCGGGCCGGGGGAGGCAGGGCAGGGCGGCGGGGCGGGGGAGGGGGCGGCCGGGCGAGCGCTTTTACCTTCGTCCAGCAGCCTCTCGAGGTGGTTGAAGATCCCGCAGAAGTTGGGGAGGCTGCTCATCAGCTTCTTGTCGTTCATCAGCTGCATCAGGTAATCGGGGCTCGGCTTCGGCTTCTCCTTGGTTTCCATTTCCCCAACCATATTCCAAGCCCGCGCAGAGACGGCGAGCGCCCGCAGCAGCTCTGCCGAGCAACGCGACCGCGGCACGGGGCGCCCGGCTGGATCCGGGCGGGCAGGGAGGCGGTGGGGGAGGGGAGGGGGCGGGGAGGGGAGCTTCCCCGAGGAAGGAGGAGAAGGAGGAGGATTCAAATCCGGAGACAAACGCAGACCCGCCGCTGAGTCCCAGGGACCAAGAAAAAAGAAAAAAAAAAAGAAAAAAAAAAAAGAGGAAACTCGGTAGAAACCCCCGTGCGGGCTGCGCCCTCCTCTCCGGGCACAAGGACCCGCCGCCGCCTCTCGGTGCCGCCGCCGCCGCTTCCCTGCTCCGTGCGCCCTCGGCCGGCGCAGTCCTCGGTGTGTCCCCCCCTCCTTCTCCTCCTCCTCCTCCCGCGCGCACACACACGCTGAGCCCGGTTCTCCTCCCGGCGCTGCCCCCTGTCTCCGCGGCGGGGGAGGGAGTGAGGGAGGGGACGCGCGGGGCGGGCGGGCGCTGCTGGCGCGGCTGCCGCTTCCGAGGAGCCGCCGCCGGTGTCTCCCCGCTGTTGCCGCCGCTGCTGCTGTTGTTGCCGCCGCGCTGCGCCTGGCGTGTGTCCTCCTCCTCCTCTCCGCCTCCCGCCCGCCCGCCCTCCCGCCGCCGCTGCTGCTGCTGCTGCTGCTTCTACTGCTGCTGCTGCCGCCGCCGCCTGTGGCAGCTGAGTCTCAGCCCCGCCGCCGCCTCCTCACTTCTCCTCAGTTCGCTCCGGAGTTCGCTTCAGTTCAGGCTGCGCTGGCAGCAGCGGCGGCGGCGGCAGGAGGGGAGGGGGCAGGGCCCGCGGGGGTGGGACACGCCGGGGGTGGGACCAGGGGCGGGGCGGCCGCTGCCCGGCGGCGGCGGCAGCGCCGCTTGGCGGAGCCACAGCTGTCCCTCCCTCCTTCCCTCCCTTCCGCTCCGGGGCTCCGGGGCGGCGGCGGGAGGAGAGCCGGCTTCCCGTGCGGCTCCCGCCCGGCCCGCCGCGCGGAAACACGCGCGCGCGCGCACGGAACTCTCCCAAACAAAATCGCGTCGCGGCACCTCCGGGGCGGGGACGCGTCACGTGCGCTCTCCCCCCGGGGGCGGGGAGAGCCGCGCCGGGGCGCGCGCGCTCCCGCCGCTCCGCGCGGCCCCGGTGTCGCGTGGCGGGGGCAGCGGGGAGGGGGGCAGGTGTGCGCGGGGGCTGCGGCCGCGCTTGCGCGCACGGGCGGTGGGCGGCGCGGACGGCGCGAGGAGCGATTCCCGGTCGGTCCCGGGGCCCGGCGGGGAGCGCGGAACCGCGGGGAAGCCGCCGGAGTGCCCCGGCGGCCAGGCGCCGACCGGCTCCGCGGGGGGACGAGGAGGGAGAAGCGGGGCTGCCCGGAGCCGCTCTCCGCGACTGCGGGGGCACGGGAGCGTCGGGTGGCCGCGGGCGGGGCGCGGAGGGGGCCGGGGTCCGTCCTTGCTGGCGCTGCCCCGGGCGGGCACGGCCGGCCCGTTCCCCCGAGCGCGCAGCGCCTGCCCCGGCCGGCAGCCCGGGCCGCATCCCGGCCCGCCGAGCGAGCTCTTTGCCGCCCGAGCCTCCCCGGCAGGGCTGCGCCTCGCCCTTGTTGCTTGTAGGGCAGCGCCGCGTTTTGGCATCAGCCGTGGCTTGTTTGACGGGTTTGGATGGGAGACGTGACGGGAGCAGCGGTGTCCGGCAGCCAGAACCAAAACTAACGTGCTCCATCCACTGCAGCCGCAGAGGCAAAGCAGCGCGACGCGGTTGCTTGTACGTATTCCTCCTTCCCCACGCTGCTACTCGGTGCTCTTACTTGGTGTTCAGCACTTAGGAGGCTGTCAGGAAGCTTTGAGGCAGTTCGCGGTAGCTTGGCAGAGCTTTTGTAACAAAGCTGGATAAAAATCGCTGCATTCTTCACGTAGCTCGCTGAAAACAGTCATATTTCATAGGACTAGGTGTAAAGTCTAGCTATTGCTTGAAATCTGTAAAAAATTCAAATGCATTTCCACACATGCTGCCCAGTATTTGAAGATACTTTCCATGTTAGGTTAATGGCAATGAACAATGCTTCCTAAACTGAAAAGAAAGAGGCACACGTCATCTTGACAGGTGTACAGTGTCATTGGGTATTGTCAAGCAGTGTTAACTCTGCTTTTCCTGAAAGATGTGCATCGACAAAAATATAGAGAATGCGTAGTTCTCATAAGAGTAACCATGCCTTCAATTATTGCATTATGTCCAGTGTTCATTGTATATTCCCCCTTTAAACAGGTAGATAGAACTTATTGTTTGGACATTGGAGTTTTTATGTCATTTCAGGGTTTTGTTTACATTAGTAGAAATTAACAGCATATGTAAGGTAAGTCAGTCTTGCTGCTTCCATCCCTAAAAAATTGTATATTCAGTAAGAAAATACTATCTTTGTTATCAAAGAATAGCAGTGTTACAAGCCATTATTTTAAATATAGATTCTTAGTTCATCAATAGCTTGCCCACAGCACACTGCAGTATGCTTATGGATGACAAAACAATGTGGTTTCTATTTAGTAACATGATTGTGTTTGCTGTCTTCTAACCTTATCTTAAGATTGTGACAAGCTAAAATACAACTTTACATGCTTAACAAAATTGCCATCGTTTGGTTTCTTGTAGACCAGTCTGGACAATGATGCATTTTTGTAGCCCTTTGCTTGCTAATTTTTAGCTGGTGAGTGAAGGCTCTTGTTAACCCTGAGAAACCATGCTGTCGAATCCTTCCATTTGATTAAGGGCATCTGCTGAACAGCAAGCTTTCCTCTTAAAATTAGGTGAACAAAGATGATGTTGGAATAATTGTTCTGGACTGATGATTCTCACACTAAAAATAGCATATGGAGACTGTTCAGCAGATTTGGTGCAGCTGTTCCCACACCACTTCATTATTTCTTCCTGCACATAAAGAATTTGCAATGCTCAAATGTAAGCAGACAATACAAGGTAAGAAATACCAGCACAAGTTGTTGTGCAAAAACACCAGTAATATACTAATGGGAACAATATAGTTTGTCCTAAGGTATTTTGTGCTTATTTTGTGAAAACTGAGATGGTGCACACCAACACTTGTGGAATCACTCATGCCAGTGCAATGCGAAATTCAAGCTCTAGTTTGTTCAGTTGTTAAGCTGAATTATTTTCTCAGTCAGAGCAGTACAGAAATTGATGCAAAGCTATGTGATGAAGCTGCCCATTTAATTAGGCATAAATTACAGGAAAAGTTCTCATCCTTGATTTTTTCCATAGATACTTCAAAACTCTGAATTTAAGTCTTTAGAAAAAAGCCATTGGAAAAGTGGAATGTTTTAATAAAATGCAAAAAGCTCATCATTGGTTTCAGATAGGCAAATGAACATGGTATCTTACTTTAGCAAGTATACAGCAAAAACCAAAAATGCTACCTGAAAGCCCCTCTCAGCATACCTTATGTTCTGCTCTGTCCCTTTACATTCCCACACTCCCACATTGTATAAAAGGGTGTTTTAAGAATTCCTGAGAGAATAAGGTTAAATTAATTCAGGTTAAAAAGCTGTGAGAAGCCATAGCTCCCATCAAGACTGGCATGACTACAGCCTGATCTATTAAAACAGTAGAAATCCTTTTGCACTCTCTTAATTTTACAGCTTTCTCATGGGGACGGAAGGCTGGGGAGAGGACATGGTACAGGCCTGGGTAAACAGGTTCTGTGGATATGGGGGAGAGGTTGTGTGGTGTTGATATTGGGGAAGGGGAGGGGGCAGGGAGGTAGAGGTTAGCTAGTCTGTTCAAGATAACCAGGTCTTGTGGTCTTGCAAGGTTCTTTTGGTAACTACTCAATGTCTCAACTTCTATCTAGACACAAGCAGAAATGCCTATTTTCAGCTGTGTTTTCATCGAGGTAGCCCTTCTTGTATCATGTAACCTGTAGTACTCTCCAAGTTTCTCTTTTAAGGTGAAGTTTTATTGCATTAATCTAATCTCAAAGTTAGAAGAATTACGATAATTCCAGCAGCAGCCTCTGTATTGCAGTAAAGGCCTGCAATGATCATAAAAAGCAAATTCAATTACTGCTATAATGTTCATAGCTGATAACACCTTTGGAAATAGAGGCAAAGGCTAATGACTACTGGGAAGCATGCTCTTTCAAAAGTGTTGGCCATTACTTCCAGTGTCTCTGTTGGCCAAATCATAAGCATAGGCTGTTGGGTGTCATCAGCCTTCTGTGATGATGTCTGTAACAGGAAGGTATTAATATGCTGTACAACTCTTCTTTAGGGAAAGAAGCAATTCTTCACTCACCCATTACAGTCGCTTGAAAAAAATATATTGTGTGTGTGTGATCCAGTATAGAATCATTCACGGTGTACGGAGAGCATAGTACTGTAATCAAACATGCCCAAAAACAGATGAACATCTGAAATACATTTATCTCTGCAAAGTGATGAATGCCTTAACAGAGTAAGGTCTAGAGCCAAACTAAAATTTCAAGGACCAATTATGTGAAAATTCTGTGCTGTGTTTGACAACAGAAACATATTTCTCTTGACATTAAAGCAAACTGACAGGTAACTTTTCAAGCAGAAGCTATAGTAGTGTGTCATTCAAAGAAGTAAGCAGATGAGGTAGTGTTCAAAAGGGACATGTCCAAGTATTCTGTGTAATCCTGGAATAGATAATGCCTGTAATTGTTCAGTAGGGTTGATATGTGATTGTTGAAGAGCTGAAAGATGAAGGCTTTAAGCACACCTTAGTCTGGAAGGACTCAGATTTGTATCTCTTACACTTTGAAAGCTACTTCGAGCTGTACAACAACTGTGAAGAAGGGTGTAGTAAGCCACAATATCAACTCCTGGTAGAACTGGCTCTTCCTCAGTCTGGAATAGAGGAGCCAGAAGAGATACCTTTGTGATTCATCCACTTACACAAGAGTAGTAACAGCTACATTCTCGTGGTTCCTGTGGTTGTGTATTAATTATGCAGTCATTAATCTGGGGAGAAAAGACAAAGCTAAGTGAAACAAAAGTTTTTTTCCACTTTTGACCTAAATCTTGTACCTGTCAGCTTTCTTAAGAAAGTGTGTGTTTCATATACCTTAAGTCACTATTACAGGACACTGTTACGTGGATAGGATGGAGGGGACTAAATTCTACTTATTCTTAAATTGTTATAAAATACTAAGCATTTTGTGTAACTCTCAGTAGTGAGGGAGGGCAGGAGGACCTCTTTATTGGGCTTCACCTTATCTACCTGCCAGAGAGTTAAGCACAGAAAAGATGTAAATCAATGCATAGTAGAGTGTATGACAGCTGCGTTGAAGATTATCATAGAATTACTGCCCATGAGATTGCACTTTTGAGTAGATAAATTCCATGGGTTTCCAATGGCTGTTCATACAGTTTCTTTAAGTGCTAGGCAGACATTTTTCTAGAAAAGATAGCCTTCTAGCAAGAAGAAAAGGTGTGTCTGGAGAGGGTGGTGCTTCTGGCTGTGCTCTTGAGAAATCTCTGTGCCTTAAAAACAAAGTTTAGATGGGTTTCATTTCTTACTGTCCAGTAGGAGATGAAAATGAGGTCTCAGGCATGTGTTTTAGAACAGCATTGTC